AGGATCGAGCATTGTTTCGTTCTGCTGTGCATGGGGTCGCTATGAGTCGGTTCCGACTCGATGGCACCTGACAACAACAACAACAACAAGGTAGTAGTCCTGGTGTAGGATAAGCACTGGACTGCTAACTGAAAGGTTGGTATGAGTCAGAACTGATTTGACAGCACTTAACAACAACAACAAGAACAACAATTAAGGTAGTAGACCACAGGTTCAGGAAGAATTTGAGCTCAACAGTTATAAATATATATAAAGTAATAATAATGTATAATGGCTGTTGACCAGTTAACATAAGTTTTAAAAGGTTTTTGGATTATCATTGAAACTGTTTCTTGTTACAGACCATTGATTCTCTTTCATAAAATTTATTTTTCTCCATTTGTATTACCTAGGAGAAAATCAGACAAGTAGAACAAAAAAACCCCTTAACTTCTCACAATCAACTACTGCTTAAACTAACTGCAAAAGATGGAAGAAGGGACCAGAAGGAATTGAGACTTCCTCTACAAAGGGACTTTGAAAACTCATGGAAATTTTTCATTTATTTTTTAATTCCATTTTCCATGAACTTTGTGAATCCCTCTCAAATATTTATTAATGAAAAACAGATTCACTAGCTGGCAAACTTAACAACTACACCCAATATAGGTAGCAAACATCAGCTACTATTATCTTATATGCTGCTGCTGTTGTTGTTGTTAAGTCCTATTGAATCAGTTCCGACTCATAGCAACCTTCTGTCATAGTCTATATAATTGTTGTTAAGTGCCATCGAGTCTATATGTTGTTGTTGTCATGTGCCATCGAGTCGGAACTGACTCGTAGCGACCCCATGCTCAGCAGAACGAAACAATGTCCTATCCTGGGCCAACCTGACTACCGCTGCCACACTTGACGCCATCAATGATGCCACCTGACTGATCCATCTCATTGGGGGTTTTCCTCTTTTCCACTGACCCTCCATCTTACCCAGCATGACATCCTTCTACAGTGACTGTTCCCTCCTGACAATATATCCAAAGTATAAGAGACGAAGCGTAGCCATCCTGGCCTCCAAGGAGCACTCTGGCTGCACGTCTTCCAAAACAGATCTATTGGTTCTTTCGGCAGTCCATGGCACTTTTAGTATTCTCCTCCAACACCACAACTCAAAGGCATCAATTCTTCTAT